ACCATCCACAGCTTTCCACTCCAAGCTCCATAACACTAAATCAACTCATATGCACCTTGGGTGTGTTTCATACTGTTTTTCTTATGCGAGCATACAGTAACGCCTTCAGCTGGAATGCGGAGGAACATCTGCTGCTGATGCTCTGGGGACTGATTTTGACAATTAGACAAGTTTTGTGTCATATTTTTTTATAGCAAATCCTTACAGTAATGCATCTGTTTTAGGATTACATCTGAGATTCAAATGAAGGATTTGTCTTAAAACTACATAAATGTATGCGTAAAATGGTTCAGGATTAATCACAGAGCATCCAAGAATGTTCACCGTCAATTTAAAAAGGTGTAAATTATTTTGTACATCATTCACTTTGCAAACTTGGACTTTAAATGGAAGAATGTCGACTGTTGTTGTGTAGCGCCATCTTGTGGAATAAGTAGCTTACACTGGAAACGAGAAAAGGTAAATTATGACATTTGCTGTATGTTTATTGTTACATTTTTAACATTATATACCATTTCTATTTTATTAATCTTGCTGGATGTCAAACGCTGCAGTTTATTTTTGCATTTGAATCTTTTTTAGGGACTTTTATTGAATCTCGTCACTTCCACCTCACTACAACAAACCAGGTATTTCCTTCATATAACCTGGATTTAGATTTAATATTAACCTGGATATCTGGATTTTAAGATCTCCGAAGATCATTTATACAGATAATATTTCAACATGTGTCCATCAGGTGTGTTTTAGCGATCTCCACAGGGCAGTTAACAGATGTAGTCCATAATAAAAAGCTGCGTTGACGTCACATTACCGTGCACATTCTAAATCTTATTTTATGTATCTTCTAAGTTTGTTTATTTGTCGTATCAGAAGTGTTTGTAGATCATAGACGTAGTCTGAGGGAGTCCAATGAATTGAATATTTTGGTTCAAAGCGTCCAAAACAATCGATTGGTATGGACTTCTACCATCACTCTGCTGGTTAAATAAGTAGCTCATTGCTGAAAATTAGTTAATTTTCTGCCTTGTTCATGAACTTTAGTTAGTACACATAGGGTTAAGAGAAAAATGTCCATGTCAAGATTAAACCGCCATAAAAACCTTGCGTCTTGATTTTTTTCCTGATTTACTTTAAGGATGTCATTCGTTAAATTTTTTTCGGCTTAGTCCCTTTTATTAACCCGAGGTCATCACAGCAGAATGAACCGCCAACTTATCCAGCATATGTTTTACACAGCGGATGTGCTTCCAGCGACAACCCATCACTGGGAAACACCCATGCACTCTCATACAATACGGACAATTTAGCTTACCCAATTCACCTATACCGCATATCTTTGGACTTGTGGGGAAATCGGAGCGCCCGGGGGAAACCCACGCCAGCACGAGGAGAACATGCCCCTGCTTTAAGGATTTAAAGCTTCAAATTAAAGCTTGTTTGCATAATACCTGTGTTAAGTCAACAATCGATAAAAGTATAAACAGAATTTTAATTAACTTTGTCCTCTTGTCCTCAAAAGCAGAAAACTGAGGGAAGACATTTTTCTTAGTCGAAATCTGCACATTTTTAAAAGTACAAATTTATTTATTTTTTTAACAAAATGTCATTTTTAAAGCCTTGTCAACAAATTGAAGCCTGTTACCAAAGCATGCATAACTTTATGCATAAATGGCGTGAGGTAAATCATTGCAGTTTCGGCTAAAATGGCATAGGATAAAACAGTTTAGAATTTTAATTAATTTTTTTTTTTTTACATTCCTGAAGGTAAAATGGTATTTTGAGGTACCTTTAGTGCACTATACTTGCAACATAGGCTCATTCTTTATACATTTCTGGAGATCACGACTTATAAAGCCAGAAGTACGTATGGTTGCATTTCATCTTTAAAACGAATGCTATGTGATGGTATGCCGCCATTTCTTTTTGCACTCACCAGCTGACTGCTTACCTCTGTTTGGACGGCTTACCTGCTGTTACCCGTTTATCCAGTAGCTCGCCATGTACGTCGGTGGACTTGAGATGCTGAGAGGAGCTGACCATGACGACAGTGTTCGAGTCCGGCAAAGAATGGTTCCAGAAAGTGAATAAGACAAAGTCAGAAGCATAAAATTAAATAAATAAACAAGTAAATAACAGGGTGAGAATGTGGTACAATCTGAAAATATGGTAAAAATCAAGCTCTTTTTATGGGTTGCTTTTTGAAACAACTATTGGTTGAGTTTAGGAAAGAAGGAGGGTGGGTCAGTCGATTGGTCAGTCATTTAGTCAGTTGACAGCGGCCTCTGTTGGATTTACACAAGAACAGCAGGCTCGAATGGCACTCGTGACTGAAATCTGAGATCTAAAAAAACATACTCAGTGCCCTCTGGCGGATTCGCAAAAAAAAAAAAAAAAATCTGCAAAATAAATTTAGCTCCTGGGGCAAATTTAGTGCACTCCAGAAATGTATATAGCGGTATGTTTTCAGAAAGACACAGCACTCCATTAAAATAATTAACTATGGTTTAATCATAGTAAACGTTTATTAACCATCATAAATTGCACATTATCTTTTGTATTACAGATTTACTACAGATTAGGTGTAATAATTTATGGATTGTGTATCAGAATCGTGGTGAATTTGCGTAAACATTCATATACACAGAATATGTTTTTGTGCTTCTGTCTCAGAGTTCCCTTTGACCCAGCTGGAGTCAGAAAGGAAGAATTGGCATCTCTGCTTCAAAAAATAAAGGTTGGAAGTCTACTGAGACATGTGCCCATGCCCAAGAAGCTGCCAGAGGTGTGTGGTTGACTTTTGCTCCTTTCTAGAGTTGCAGGTACAGTAACCTCAGGAGAAATCAAATGGTGTTGACAGTGGTGTACGATGTTCAGCCGATGCCAAAGCCCAAACAACCTGCCAAGAGATGCCTGGCTCCAGTCTTTCATCAGTCTTTTCATGGCCATAAAGCAAAAACTCAATGACAAATAGATCTGCCAACTTGAGAATGAATTTGGCTTAAATGCAGTACTATGACTGCAAGCTAGCAAAACCAATGACGTATTAAATTATTGTTGATGGTGATGGGTTACAGGTATAATTTTTACAATTTTAGAATATGTAAAATAATAGTAAATAAAAACAGATGAAATATGACAACCAAGCTAAAAGGTGGAGAACAATTTTAATTTAAAACACGAAATACAGGTAAACAAATACGATATACAGATTGTCAGCTATATAATGTAATAAGCCCATGTGCAAATGGCTTGATTTGGTCCAACTGTGTTACACTTAAAAATGACATGCATTATATGGCACAGCTAAGGCAGGAATGGCTCTGACTGTATGCAACTGTAATAGCTGACTTAATAGGCCTATGAACTGTATAATCATGTAAAATTATAATAAACATGTAATGATTGCTGTTGCTTTCAATTTTAGGCATTTCCTTTAAATTGCCCTAGATAGATAGATAGATAGATAGACAGACAGACAGACAGACAGACAGACAGACAGACAGACAGACAGACAGACAGATAGATAGATAGATAGATAGATAGATAGATAGATAGATAGATAGATAGATAGATAGATAGATAGATAGATAGATAGATAGATAGATAGATAGATAGATAGATAGATAACACTAGAGTACACTACCTGACAAAAGTCTTGTCATCTATCAAAGTTTTAGGTACCACAAATAATAACTTGACTTCTAGTTGATCATTTGGTATCAGAAGTGGCTTAAATGAAAGACAAAGAACTCTAGATTACGCTTATTTTACCAAAATTGGAAAATTGTCACTTAACAGAAATAATGTACAGTATAGAATATAAAGTCATAATGCAGTGGAAAAAGAATTAATATTATGACTCCCATGAGCTTAAACGACTGCATCCATACATCTCTGGGTAACACTTTACAATAAGGTTTAATAGTTAAGGCATTTACTAACATGAACTAATCATGAACAACACTTGTACAGCATTTATTAATCATAATTGAACATTTACTAATGCATTATTAACATTCAAGTCCATGCTTGTTAACATTAGTTAATGCAACGTGAGTTAACATGAATTAACAATGAACAACTGTATTTTCATTAACTAACATTTGTTAACATGAATAAATACTGTAATAAATGTCTTGTTCATTGTTTGTTCATGTTAGTAAATGCATTATTTAACATTAACTAATGAACCTTATTGTAAAGTGTGACCCATCTCTGCTATCACTCAAATCATTTATTAATAAAATCATCTGGAATGGCAAAGAAAGTGTTCTTGCAGGACTCTCAGAGTTCATTAAGATTCTTTGGATTCATCTTCAATGCCTCCTCTTTCAACTTACCCCAGACATGTTCAATAATGTTTATCTCTGATGACTGGGCTAGCCAATCTTGTAGCACCTTGACCTTCTTTGCTTTCAGGAATTCACTGCCTTCTCCTGTGGTTTGTAATGTAATAGGCAGCACAATTGTCTTGACACCTCTGGCTGCTGATGTTGCCATCCACTCCGCAGATCTCTCGCATGCCCCCATACTGAATGTAACCCCAAACCATGATTTTTTCCTTCACCAAACTTGACTGATTTCTGTGAGAATCTTGGGTCCAGGTTCCAATAGGTCTTCTGCAGTATTTGTGATGATTGGGATGCAGTTCAACAGATGATTCATCAGAAAAAATCTACCTTCTGCCACTTTTCCAAATGATCAACTAGACACATTATTTGTTATTTTTACAACTGAGCTCGACGCCAAGACTTTAGTCAGGTAGTGTATGTCAAATGCAAAATTTTTGTCGCATTCAGATAGGAATTGGTTTTAATTTAGAATGTCTGTGTACTACAATACTATGACTTCAAGCAAGAAAATCGAATTGTGTAGTAAATTAATGTTGATGGTGATGTTTGACATGTTGAGGTGATGGGTTACAGGTATAACTTTTTATAAGTTTGGTACATGTCAAATAAAAGTGGACACAAACAGATGGAAAACAACAACCAAAGTAAAAGGTAGTGAACAGATTTATTTGAAAACACAAAATACATGTAAAAAATACAATGTGCAGTTTTTCAGCTATATATAATCACTTAAAACTATAATGAGCGTGTAATGTTTGCAGTTGCTTTCAATTTGAGTCACCCCTGGAGCACCATTAAGCGAAAAACAATATAATACAGCAGTTCACTTTACAGTGTTTGCAGATAATTAATCCAGATGAAAATAGAGAGATATAATGGAACAGTACAGCTTCAGTTTAGATTTGCATTGGGGTAGCTGCCTTCTTAGTTCAGTCTGTACTTCTGAATGTGGCTTAAAGCAATAGTTCACTCAAAAAACTAACATTCTTCATTCTTGGGTGGACTATCACACACATCGTCACTGATTTAAGATGGAAGTCTCATTCATAATGCCACCCCTGCTATGATATGTGTATCGTCTTTGTTAGGCTCTGTTTTGGTTTCCAGCGATTCCAGACTTGATGGCGTGTCATCATGTGTGCTGATTTGGTGTGTAGGGCAGAAGGGCACATATTTGGTCCACGTTAGAGAGGAGAGGCAGCTATTAATTCTAAATGGCAAACCATAGACTTCATCACTTTCTAAGGTGTTGTCTGAATCGTCTTGGTGGGCCTTGTTCCATGCAGTAATGCCTCGTTCACGTTTTGTTCCTGTGGGAATGTTAAACAGGTTAATTATAAAGGTTTTATTCATGTATAAGCTTTTATTTGCACACATTAGGAAAGGAGGGAACTATAGCCTTTATGTAAAATGAATAATAATAATTTTAACTGAACATTTTTAAATTTAAAAATCTTTATGAATGTGTTTTATATCTGCAAGTAATACAGTTAAAGAATTATTAGCCCTCCTGTGAAATATTTCCCAAATTATGTTTCACAGAGCAAAGAAATGTTTACAGTATATCCTATAATATGTTTTCCTCTGAAGAAAGTCTTATTTGTTTTATTTCGGCTACTATAAAAGCAGTTTTTGATTTTTTAAAAACCATTTTAAGGGCAATAATATTAGCCCCCTTAAGCAAAATTATTTTAGATTGTCTACAGAACAAACCACTGTTATACAATATCTTGAAAAATTACCCTAACTTGCCAAATTAACCTAGTTAAGCCTTTAAATTGCACTTACAGCTGAGTACTAGTATCTTAAAAAATATTAAGTAAATGTACTGTCATTATGTACTGTCATTGTGGCACAGATAAAAGAAATCAGTAATTAGAAATAAGTTATTAAATCTATTGTTTAAATGTGTTGAAATATAAATTTATGTCTGTTAAACAGAAATTGGGGAAAATCTATGTACAGGGGGGCTAATAATTTAGGAATAATTCTGACTTGAACTTTAGGGATGATTTCCAAAGCAGATTATTTGCAGCTCTTACCGGGTATCGTGTTATCAAGGAGAAATCCAAAGAATCCTCCAACAAACATACTGGTTGTCAATAGCACTTGAAGAACGTGGTCCAGTTCAACAACTCCTAATACACAAAAGCATTATAAATTTGTATTTGGTAAACAGACTGGCTGCTGACAGTGGATGTACCTGTTTGTATCATGCGATTTTCAATGATCATAGTTTAAATACCTGTTGCTATTGATGTGGGGTTTTTTATTATCCAGTTGGGAATGGTAAGCCCGGTGAACATGGAGAATCCAAAGATGAAGATGTTGCGTGAAGAATTCATGTCTGTATACTAGTAATATAAATTGGTTTGTTAATAATATACAATAATAATAATAACAACAACAACATTATGTTATATTATATATAAAGAAATGGTAGTGTGCACTACACTGAAAAAAATAAAACTACTTTCATTCAAAGTACATTTTTATATTGGATTTGGTGAACAACATGCTTTCTGATTTTAACCTGTTTTTTTGCTTTAAGGCAAATTGAGTTAAAAAGGTTAAAATATTTTACTTAAAACCAGCTGGTTTCATGTCATGTGACCACATAAAAGAAGGTACTGTTTATGTGCTTTCAGTTTTTATGTGTTTCTAATGTAAGTTTGGCCATATTACATGACATTTTTAACAATACTAAAAGCACCAGCAGATCATTGCAGCAGATACACTAGTTTTTTTTTATATAGTTTAGTATAGTTTATAGTATTTATAATAGTTTATTCAAAAGTACAACTTTACTTTGATTTTGATGTTAAGTGCAACCAAAGTCATGTAATTAATTAATTATCTATAAAAACTATATTTTAACTTTAAGACAATGTATTTTTTTCCCTTGGGTAGAATTTTGATTAGTATTATATTACATTTTTCAGTTTGTGCCAAGTAAAAACTATATTTTGTGGGACATTTATATAAATTAGCTATAACAAAAATTACTTACATTTTATTAGGCTGATCCAAAGCAAAATTATACTTTAATCTAAAAGTAAAAAAAAATAAAATTGTGATATCTATAGAAAACAATTTCTGATTGTAGTTTTTTCTTGACCTCAATAAATACATTTGATTTAGGCTTAATTCAAATGTGTAGATTGAATTAAAGTTAAATCATATTATTTGAGAAAATCTAAATAATTTAACTGTAAGAAATTACAGTAATTTTGTTTTTTCAGTGTACTGTGAAGTCAGTGAGGTTTGTTTAAGGATAGGATCAGGGTTTCATAGTACAGTTATTATCCAATTATTGTGATTAAGGTTTATAGTGTGTACATGCGGAACTGGACTGTGAAATTCCTAAGTGCTCCCAAAAAATGTACATTTTTACCTGTAGGTTTGAAATACCAGCGGCTGTGATGACCCCAAACATGACCAGAAACATTCCTCCAATGACAGGCGTTGGTATTGTAGTAAATATGGCTCCAATTTTCCCAAACATTCCCATTATAATCATTATAAAGCCACTGGCCACAATAACCATTCGACTACCAACCTGCAACAAGAAATATCATAGAAATAATCACAGACGATCTCTCACAAATTAATATGATCTTTTAAAAGGGCATTGCAGTTGTTATTGATAGTTGATGATGTTGTGGTAGTGTTGTAAGCACTACAAATTTGAACATCTTTAGGTTTCAACACCACAAAGAATCATGGGAAGATGTCAGCTTGATGGTGTTTATGCTACAAAATTGATGTTTCTGGGTACTTGTAACACTGATGCGGAGTGTCCTGAGAGGATGGGCAATGGAATTTATTTCATTTCCTAAACCTAAACAAGGCAACTTAAAAATCCAAAAGATCAACAAGGTTGTATTCATTTATTCTAGATAAGTTGAATACCAATAACAATGCGTTTAACACTGCTAAAAGTTAGATAGGATCACCATTAGCAAATTTACTAGAAGCAGTATTTATGTAGATGTGTGTAAGTATATGTTTATTCAGTTTTTATATTCATTTCAGTAATAATATTGCGTATTATGTTATTGTTTAGAGGATTTATGTACAATAAAATTTGTGAAGGAATATTTTCCACATCTTCTAGTATATGAATTGTATGAGAAAACTACAGTAGCTTTATTAAGTGTTTTTTTTTTATTTAAAAAAGGTTTTTAGCTCATATAATAGAAAAAAAATACAAAATTATGTGCAGAAATAACTAATAAAAAGTCTGTCTGGCTCTGCAGAGTATGTTGAAATCAAATTTATCATGAATTAAAACACTATATTGTGAAACTTTTTACCTTGGTGATACCCAAAGCTCCTACGTTTTCACTGTAGGATGTGGTTCCATTGCCTGTGCCCCAGGCGCCTGCCAGCAGACAACCAATGCCTTCAATGCCAATGCCTCGGTTGATAGCATGCCTGGGTGGTGGTGGGGCACCAGATAACCTGGCACAAGCATGATAATCCCCCACCGACTCAATCATGGAGGATATGACTCCGGCCAGGATCCCAAAAACTCCCGCCAGACTAACACTTGGCACCCCCCATTGACCTGGAAATACACATCCATAAATATTATATGTAAATACTTTTAAAATCCTACCGTAAAATAAAGCCACCTTATGATTCATTCTTGTAGAGATATGGTAATAGGCATATAAAAGACTTTATTGCTGGATAAATACCTGGATAAGGGAATCTGAACCAAGGTGCCTTGCCCGTAACATCTCCTTTAATGTCCGTCCGAGCAAGATAACCGTATTTATCAGGGTCTGAAGGCAGGACATTGTAGATGGTCAGCAGGTAGCAGATCAACCAAGACAGAGTGATTCCCAGCAGGACCTGAGGAAATGTTTTATTCCTTAAGATATTTTAATAAAGCATTGAAGCATTTGTGTTTAGAAAACAGATATTAGGCTTACTGGCAGAATCTGGAATATGAAAATCCTAGTGGTGTGAAATTTCTTGGCTCTGCTGTATTTTGGGACAGGGATGGCAATATGGCGGAGATACTGAGAGAATATCACGATCAAACATGTCGTCCTGTGGAAAGCAGACAAACTGTGTTGTGACTCTGTATTAAAACAGCATTTCCTATAATGCTGGTTATAATACAAGTTTTTTCAGTGGCTTTGGTGCATTTCTCACAACACTATTTACATTTGCACAACAGTCCATGCATTTCTTAAAACAGTTAGTCATTTGTGCACATCATATTAGCAGTTTCTCATTCCTTTCAACAAAGTGCAAATGCTGTTAGACGTGCATCAAGTGCTTTCATACAACTCTCTGCTATTTATAGCATTATCATTTGCTTATGTCATGTAAGTCAAAATTAACTAAACTTGTGAATGCTGAATAGTCATTCCATATAAAACTAATAGTCCTCATTTAATTACTTGAGTCTTTACATACAAAAATGTTACACTAGGTGTCAATATTTATTTGTTAAGGGACAAAAGGACGTTCACTGACATTTTAGTCATTTGAAACAATCTACTGTATAAGAAATTATAGATAGATGGATGGATGGAGGGATTGATGGATGGATGGAGGAATAGATGGAGGGATGGGTAGACAGACAGACAGAGAGACATACAGACAGATAGATAGGTGCTGTAAATATAAACACAGTATTTTTGCTGTAATTGTTTTACAAGTTACAGTCGATTCTTCTTGTTAACAGTGTTGTCAGAGCAGAGATCCAGACCACATAATGACGTTTGAAGTATGAAAAAATAAAGTGATATATTTTACAGTGTAGTGTAACTAGTAAACCTAATAGGCTGCTTACACTAAATCAAACAAACTGTATGGAAAAGTTCAACTGAAATAAAAAATGTAATCAATCAATCAGTCTAAATGGTTTTGAACTACAGTACCTACAGTACTTAACGTTTGAGAAGTACACACATGGCAGAGATGCCCCAATGGTGTCCTGCGTTCATGCCAGCCGAGTCAAACAGCGATAGGCCGATTAGGGAAATAGTTGGGGCGATGGTCAGAGGGCCAATGAAGCGCATGAATAGGCCAATGAGACCGGAGAATCCCACCAGTACTTGGAATAGGGAGCCCACCATGATTGAGCCTTGGAGCTATGCAGAAATGATACCAGAAACAGAATTGAAGTATTATAGAGTATTCTTTTTCTTATAGATGTGTAGTGTTTAGCATTACCTCAACTATACTTCCATCAAAATATGCAGCAAAATATTAAATATTAAGTAATTTTTACTATTTTTAATATTAAATATTGATAACCTTGTGTTATCAAGCCAGTGGTGTTTTTCACACTTTTGTCACTATTTGTGCAATTAACAATAACCAATTAATTTTTAATTGGGTTTCTAAAGTCAGTTTCCTTCAGATATACAGTTGAAGTCAGAATTTTTAGCCCTCCTGATTTATTATCCCCCCTGTATATGTTTTCCCCAATTTCTGTTTAACGGAATGAAATTTTTTCAACACAATTCTGAACATAATCGTTTGTTCTGATAGAGAAAAAAAAATATTGCTTAAGGGGCTAATAATATTGCCCTTAAAATAGATTTTAAAAAATGTAAAGCTGCTTTTATATAGCCGAAATAAAACAAATAAGACTTTCTCCAGAAGAAAAAATATTATGGGAAATACTGTGAAAAAATCCTTGCTCTATTAAACATAATTTGGTAAATATTTGAAAAGGGAATTTACAGGAGGGCTAATCATTTTTACTTCAACCGTATGTCATACATGTAACGATATGTGTAGTAGGTATCTGTATACTGTATGTATTTTTCTATTCTGTCAAATGCTAAATGTTGTCAAACTCAGCTAGGAATTGGATATTTGTTTCTAATTGAAATGGGAAAGTATTTGGAGTAAATATAGTTGCACCCATTGGATTTTGCTGTCATTCTAAACATTTCTATCTTAAAACAGTTGTCAAATATTAAAATACTAACAATCAACATTACTGACAACATTTTACACCAATGAGGCAGAGCAGCTTGTTTTATAATTTTAAACTATACTGTATTGTTCTAATGTCAACAAACAAAGCTCTGTGTAGTGGAGTATAGCAGATTGTTGTCTGTTACTGAGATGATTCTCACCATTTGCATTCGACTCTGCCAAACATGGATGAACTCAGGCGAGGTGGTGTTGACAAGGCTGGCATTCTGTGTCCAAGCTGGACATGTCCATTCAGGCATTGAAAGCAAAGCCATGGTGGGCGACAAGAGAGTAAATGTTCCACCCTGGAGAATGGGTAACCTTCAATTAAGAGAGAAAAGCCTCGTCACCAAAAGTCTTGCTTTTGTGGTTTTGTTGCAATTGGTGTACATGCTCACAAAAACATATGCTTTAAATCAGGGGTCTCAAACTCAATTTACCTGGGGGCCGCAGGAGGCAAAGTCTGGGTGAGGCTGGGCCGCATAAGGCATTTCACAAAAAAAAGTCCTCAAATGTCATTAACAGTTTTAATTATTTCTTCTGAACATGAAGTGTCCTGAACATTAATAGAACATTGAGTGAAGATTATGAACAGTTCTTCTGAACATGGCATCTTTTGCCTACTCCTTACTGCCAGAGACTTGACAGCGCTTCTTCTCACAAATCTGAACCACATTTGGCTTTAGAGCGGAAGCAGTTGAGACCCTCAGTATGGCTTGAAGATGATCATCATAAAGTCTAGACCTGTACTTTGACTTATTGAAGTTCAAGGTGGAGAATAACTTCTCACACAAATATGTGCTCCCAAAAAGGCCAAGTCCTAGGGAAAAAAGTGGGGGAACTCACTCAAAACTTCCATTCCCTCACCTAAAAAAAGGCGTATATATGTATAAATAAAACACCCCCACCCCACTCCAGTCACATCAGTCTGTACCAGTCTGTATCTACCTATAATATATATAAGACAGGGCTCGAAATTAACTTTTTTACTTGGTAGCACCGGTGCTCCCAACTTCAAATATTTAGGAGCACCAAAATAAATTTAGGAGCACCAGAAAAAATTTAGGAGCATCCACCAAAAATGATTAAGCACCGCTGCAAATTGCTTTTTAAGGGATTTATTGTATTTTAAAACAACATCAATAGGACTGACAAAAACCAGAAACAACTATCTAACTAATGCTGTGAAGACATTGATATTTGTGTGCAATAATTCCAAAATGAATGTCTAATAATTATAGAATATTAATGATGATGAAAATGACAATAATAGTAAAAATGAATTCCATTTCTCATTATGATACTGCCTTGAATGTGCATGAATGTATGTTATCTGCTATAAAAAGTCTGTTACTTTATGAAAAATAATTGTATAGTTTGCATCAAACAAAAATGAAGCATTGCAGTAAGAAATATTTATTTTGCACTGCTGTTTTATATGCATGTCAATTTAATAAATAATATTTCTGCTACAAAACAAACAAAAGATTATAATAAATCATTCAATTCAATGATGAAAGCTGCAAAGCAGTCATCAGTAAATAAATAAAAAAATATATATACACCTCAAACAAGAATAGACAAAAGAAAGTAAGTAAAGTCTCACTTCTATCACTTTAAAAGATTTGGTTTCAGTTTGTGTCAATTTAAATGTTCAGTCTGAGATGATCTTCATGTTTCTGTGTTAGTGGAAAAGCTGGCGAGTCAGCCGACCCAATTTATGAGCAGGCAGCGCAAGATTCTTGCGATGACCACCGGCGGAATACCGCTGTTTGTTATGAGCCGCAGTTTCAGTGTAAACTTAGTAAAGGCGAGCTCCTTTGGCGATGATATGTACAGTATTAGATTTGACTTTTAGCGGACATTTGCGCTGAACACGCAGTGAATGCAACGCATGGAGATTCGGGCACCTTCTCCAAGAAGCGCGTACTCGATTGATCACAGCTGGCGGATCATTATTCACCACGTGACGTGTCATGATCGCTTTCATCTGCGCTTCAACTTTAAACCTGTGTGCTTTAAGTTTTTACTCTTCAGCCGTTTGCATTTCCCGTGGTCATAAAAGCTCCTTCCCTGTCATCTGACAGTGGAATACCTTGAGTGATTGACAGCGGCAGGGAAGAGCGATTCAGCACGTTTTTACAAAAAATCAAAACAGGTCGCACTACAACCATTATCTGCAGTCGCACTAATGCGCCAAAATATATTATGAGGTCGCATAGATTAATTTTCGGGCGCATATGCGACCAAAATGGTCGCAATTTCGAGCTCTGTAAGATGCAGGCTGTAGCTAAGTGGCAGGCAGGGGCGGGAACAGCTTGCCTTGGTTCTTCCCGCCCGTCACAGCGTCTAACAAAGGGGCGGGGTGCGTGGTGACGTCACCGGCATCCCCGCTCCTTTGTTTACACGGCGGGCGGGGAATGCCAGTGACCGCTGTGTACGGATAGAATCAGCGGAGCGGGAAGCGCTCGCTCTCTCCGCTCCGCTGATTCTGTCAGTGTACAGCGGTCGGCGCGGGCCACAAAATATTGCACTGAGGGCCGCAAATGGCCCGCGGACCGCGAGTTTGAGACCCCTGCTTTAAATAAAAGGGTAAAAGTCTTAAATTGACTATATTGTCTTGTAAGTCTTATTAATCATTTTAAACTGGTCTTAATTTTCCTTTGTTTATGTAAAGCTACCAAAACACATCCAAAACACATTCAATCATTAACAACACATCTAAATAAAACCTTTAGCAAAACTACTCCTAATTTGTATTACAACTGTAGTCTGTTTTGCAAACATTTAGTCTTTAAAGACTTTTTGCGTTATGTTGAATAAAAATGTATGTATACAACTAAGGTCTGCTTGTTTCGACACATTGTTTAAAATATGTGGCTTAAAAAAAACTAATTTGATTTTTTTTATCTGCTAAGCCATTAAACAATCTTTAGCGTGTGAAAATTCAGTCTTTAAAAAGTATTAAATTTGACTTTCTCATCGGCACTAATAGCCTAGTGGTACTGTGTGTGATCTGACATATTGTCACCTTAGAATTATAAGGTTATATCTGACATTTTTGTCAAAATTGAGTTATTGGCATATTCTTATTAAATGACAACTTATTTACATTTTGAAAAAAAAATTGTAAGTTGTTTACATTTTAAAGTTTAAACAAAAAATTTAAACAAAAAAATTTAAACAAAAAAAACAAATGTTACACATACTGTTTGCTATGGAATGCAAAAACTTTGAAGCTCAATATCTCAAAATCATTTAGATTGCAGATAGAACCTTATAATTCCAAGGTGACGATATAGCACCGGCGTGCTCACGGCGACCCAAGTCCGATTCCCGGCTCGAGACCCTTTGCCAATCCTTCCCCTCTGCTCCCAATCCTGCCTAAAATTTCCTGTCATAATACGAAAAAAACCCTAAAAAGTTTTGACTTGGTCAAACATGCAGAAACCTGTAACCTGAAATCTGTAACCTGGTCAACAGTAAGTTAGTTAAACTGGTAAACAGTTAAGTTTTCTTGATATATACGGTGAAAAAACATAAATTAAATTTCCCAAAATTCCCTGCATGAAAACAAAAATTATTATTATTATTATTTTTTTTTTTTTTTTTTTTGTAAAAAAAAGTGTGTTTTTTTTTAGGGTTTTGCATCAGTTATGCGCATTGGAGTTTTATGTTACATCTTATTTAGTTGTTTTTTGTGATGCATTACTTAAGTTGTGTGACACTGAGCAACTTCTATACAGTATATTAAGTTTGATTCTCTGCTTTTGGCAAAAGTTGTTTGTGGTGATGGGTTGATTGGTTCATCATATGACTTTCTCATCACCACATCCTTTGTTTTTGTCTGTGTAATGAATGTATGATGGGAACTGCAAAAAAAACATTGGTGTATAGCAGTGTACATTAATTAAATATGGTAGTTTACTGTAAATATTCATTACAATTATGACACATTTTTGCAGGTTCTACCATTTTTAATGGTAAAATTCTGGCAACCACAGCTGCCAGTTTTTTTAGCCAAAATTTTAAAGGTGTACTTTTCTCAGATTGTTAATATTGAGATGTTTCTTTCTATCCATCCTTTACAGCTAAAAAAATTAGCAGTTTTCCATATTTTGTGATTTATGTTTTTATTTTTACCCCCCCCCCCCCCCCCAACAACTTTTAACCTTGAAAAAAAAAAATTTTTAATAGTTTAAAGTGATATATTCTCTATGTTGGTGTTGTATATTACAATATAATAACCATGTAATAAACCACCAGTACATTTTCTGTTATTTTACTGACTTATTTATCTTTAAATATTATTTCTTACACATTATAATGTCAATAAAAGTATAATTTTCAACATCAAAAATCGACAGAGGAGAGATCAACATCCCATAATGCAATTTAAAACTGCAAATAAACACTTGTAAATCAACAAAATATGGAAACTGTTAATTAACAGATATTTTTTACGTTGTGTGTTTTGACCCTCACTGAATTCTCAAACTTATGATCAATAAACCCATATCAGCAGGTAAAACGCAAGGTGTAGTGTGTTTTTCAAACAGTAGATAAGATTTACAGTGTTATTTGTTGATTCAAGTTGCAGTAAATGGTGTATTATGATTTTATTGGACAATCAAGATAGCAATAAGTTAGCTTATGGCACCAAATCAGTTACACAGATGAGTGATAATAATATACAATAATAATAGACTGTTATACAACAGTTCCACAGCTTTACACAGCATCTGAAAGGCCCTGAGGAATGTGGATTTAAAATGTGCTGAACTGCATGCTAATAAGATGGAAACTTTCTAATCCTATTATGATTTTCAGCTTCTGCAGGAATTATTCTGACCTGCGTGCCACATATTTCTACAGTACATCAGTAAACAGTAATAGATTGTTTCAGTTTCATCATGTTTGATTATCATGTGATCTGATGAGTTATCATTTTAGGATTTTTGTGACACAGCATCAGGTCAAATGCGGTACAAATTCAGTTTAAAACAATCAGAGGCTTATCAGATGGTGAAAACATTGCTAAGCCTACATTTTTTCACACTTTTCTAGGTCAATGAACTTTTGGATTGAATATCTGGATTGTTGTCCCACGAGGGGTTTATCTAGAACATAAGTAACTATAACAACTATTATTTTGGAGAGGAACACATGAAACATACACACACACACATAAATATACATTTATATATTTATTTTTTTATTTTACATTTATGTGTGTTTGAGTGTGTGTGTGTGTGCATGTGTATATAGTAGTCAACATTTGAACTAAATCGAAAATGTTTTTCAAAATTGTCCAAAGATTAAATAAAATAGCTGTTTACAACACACTTTTGCACATACATACATATAATACAATTTACATTTATTTATTTATTTATTTATTTATTTATTTATTTATTTATTTATTTTGTTTCTGTTTTATTTTGTTATTTTATTTTTTATTTACTTTATTTATTTAATTTTGTTTTATTTATTTAAATTTTATTTATTTACTTATAATTTTTTTATCTTATCTTATCGTTGTCTTTGTCTTAACCCTTGTGTTTTTTATTTAATTAATTTATTTTATTATTTTTTATTATTAATATTCTATTTATTTTAATTGTTTTATTTTTTTGTTTTATTTGTTTTATTTTTTTTTTCATTTTGACTTTTTAATTTTGTCTCAGCATTTTTTTTGTCTTATGTCTTTTGTCTTGTATTTTTTATCATTGTTTATTTTATTTATTTTTTTGTTTTATTTATTTATTTATTTTTATTCCTTTTTTATTCCTTTTTTTGTTTTATTTATTTATTTATTTATTTATTTATTTATGTATTCATGCATTCATTCATTAATTTTTTATTTCATCTTTTTTTAACCCTTGTGTTTTTTTTTTGTTTTTTTTTTTATATTTCAACATCATTACCATTCATAAATATACTTCATAATTGGTACAAAAATACTGGACCTTCAAGTTAAAAATGTTGAAATCCATTAAAATGGTAATATGTCACACCAGTGCAATTTTAAAGAAATCTGTCAGTGAAATGTTAAATACAAAAAAACATAAAAATAATAATAATAAAAACACTTAAATATTTTTAAGTAATGCACATGGGTTAATAAAAAATGCTAAACATAGATTGTATGTCAAGAAATTTTGTGTTTAATTCAAAGCAAACTGCATTAGAATTAACACATCAGTGTAGTCTCATTATGAAACAAAGAACGCAATCATTCAAGGTGTACTGTACATATAGCTATCACTTGCTAAACGTCACATTTTGTAAATAAATGCCCATGGTTCAATAATTGACAAAGACATTCCCTTGTATTAGAGTAACCAACATTCAATCCTGATTCTTGATGGAAATAATGAAAATATTCATGATGTTTACCCTACATCTCATCATAACTTTACACATCATTGCGTAACTTCTTTGGCTTTGTTCTGTTACTCTTTCTGTTGTGCAGAGTGCCTGTGTGATTTTGCAAAGAGTAATATAGGGAACCATACCTCACTCCAAAAGTGACTTGCAGTAAAGTGCACACGCCTGACACGAAGAAGATTGTGCTGATTAGGTGACTTTGCGTGAGGCCATCATGCTGTAGGCAAAGGCCTTGAGACAATATTAGAGGAATGGCTATGATGCCACCGAAAGCTGTGAGATAGTGCTGTCAGAGAGATGGAGAGAAACTGTTGAGTGTATCTTTCATAACAAACTGAACACACTCTAAGTCTAAATGACTGAAACCACTTGTGAAAACACATCTAATAGGTACACCTGTCCAACTGCTAGTTAATACAAATTTCTAATCAGCCAATCACAACTCAATGCATTTAGGCATGTAGACATGGTCAAGATGATGTGCTGCAGTTCAAACAGAGCATCAGAATGGGGATGAAAGGGGATTTAAGTGACTTTGAACAAGGCATGGTTGTTGGTGCCAGACGAGCTGTTCTGTGTATTTCAGAAACTGCTAATTTACCGGAATTTTCACGCACAACCATCTCAAGAAGAGCATATCTGAATGCACAACACGTCCAACCTTGAGGCGGATGGGTTACAACAGCAGTACCACACCAGATGCTATTCCTGTCAGATAAGAACAGGAAACTGAGGCTAAAATTTACACAGGCTCACCAAAATTGGACAATAGAAAATTGGAAAAACATTGTCTGGTCTTATGAGTCTCGATTTCTGCTGCACCATTTGGATAGTAGGGTCAGAATTTGTAATCAGCAACATGAAAGCATGGATCTAACCTGCCTTGTATCAACGGTTCAAGCTGCTGCTGGTGGTGTAATGGTGTGGGGGATATTTTCTTAGCACACTTGGTGTGCTTGGAATACCAATTAAGCATTGTGTCAACACCACAGCCTACCTGAGTATTGTTGCTGACCATGTCCATCCGTTTATGACTACAGTGTACTCATCTTCTGATGGCTACGTCCAACAGAATGGCGCACCATGTCATAAAGCGCAAATCAACTCTGACTGGTTTCTTGAATATGACAATAAGTTCAGTTTACTCAAATGGCCTCCACAGTCACCAGATCTCAATTCAATAGAGCACTTTTGGGATGTGGTGGAACGGGAGATTCGCATCATGGATGTGTAGCCGACAAATCTGCAGCAATTGCGTGATGCTATCATGTCAATATGAGCCAAAATCTCTGAGGAATATTTCCAGTACCTTGTTGAATCTATGCCATGAAGGATTATGACAGTTCTGAAGTTAAAAGGGGGCCCAACTCGGTACTAGTAAGGTGTACCTAATAAAGTGGCCGGTGAGTGTATTTTGCATATTTTTTATTTAATGTAACATGTTTCCCGCATTAGTTAAAATACGTTTTGAACGGATTATGTATGTAATATTTTTGTATTAATGACAGCAGAAGTTTTGGCAATCTTCAATTAAAATTAGACAATTAGCTTCTGTTGTACTTTTTTTTTCTGACATCAGATTGACGTAGGGCTGCACAAAATATCATTTCAGCATCAATATCTCAATGCGCACATCTACAATAGTCAGATCGTAGGAAGTGCAATGTTGAGTTCATTTTTTGGGGGGATTATAGTTTACCAGGAGCCACAGATCAGTACACCTACAATTTTTGGAGTGACTGAAAAGTTTAACCATAATTGAGTGAAAGTTTATCATTTCTGTGTGCTTTTAAGGCCTGTGACTGTGTAAGCATTCAAGCATGAAATATTCAGGAACTGAATTTCATGAAATTGTCCTGTTTGTACAGTGCTCAGCATTATTGAGCACACCCCATTTTAAAAAACGAATATTTGTATTCATTTCTCAGTGAATATAAGCAATATATTTTGGTTAATTAAAAAAACATATTTGTTAAACAGATATATTTAGTGAAATAATATTTTAGTCACCAGACACATGTAGAAATAGAAAGATAACACAATTAAATTCAAGCAAAATGTTGCAAAAAATAATAATATTGATTACAACCTACAAAATTCAACTAAATCTTTTAATATTTTGCTTCTCTAGATTTTTTCTCTTTTTTAAATTTGTATTTAATATTTTTCTATGACATACATTTGGGTGTTCGAGTTTTTGGACTGTTATCGTAAGTTATTTTGTTAGATAATCTCTAGATTTGGCTTCAGTTCTAACTAATCTAATGTACAGTATATCCACAAATATAGTATTGTATAGCTTCCTATTAAAATATGAATTTAAAAGATAGATTTGTTAGGGGTGTACTTACATATGCTGAGCACAGTAACTCTAGTAAAGATGAATTTTTATTACTATTTATACAATTAAGACTACACAGTGTTATTTTACATCTGATTATTCAATTTCTGTATATACCTGAATAGTGTGAAGTAAAATATTTCACTTCCATCTTTCCAAATAATAATTCAAAATAATTCCAATTTAAATAAATTAACTATTTCCAAATAGAGCTATTCAAGCTATCTGGTGAAATTGTATTCATATCACAATACTGTATATATTGCAGCGAAATAAAATATCGCAATGCCAAATGTTTTTCCAATATTGTGCAGCCCTAGTTTGACAGCATCAGCCACATTGCTCTTAAACCACGCCCCTCTTAGTGTTAGTATGCTACAAGGAGGGAATAATGTACAAAAAAAGCCCCGCCCCCTACTCAATATTCAATTTCAGCTGAAAGTACATCAACATACTGAAATAGAAGTCTCAGAAACTTCCAGTTCATCAGAATTTTAATGATAATCTTCTCCAGCCTAATTTGAAAATGACTCTAACATTGTCTGACCATATGCAGTCCACATGAACGTCACATATAATAATAATAATAATAATAATAATAAAAAGCCTGCAATATGTCTTATGCATTATTTTTAAGGCCTTTTAAGTGTTAACATGAGCAAAACTTTGCTAGTAAGTTTAATATTTAAAAATATTATCCTACACAACTGACAACTGATATTAGGCATTTTATGTAAGTAGATTATTGATATATCATTGATTACTTTTGGTCAAATAAATAACATCTGCACTTAATTACAGTATTTTGCTCAGTTTGGGCTATTAAAGGCATAAAGTATCTAACTGCATGATGAATATTGTGTAGAAAATGTGAATTTTCCTCTTAATATCCATTTAAGGTGATAAAAAATATGATTCTAGACATGTGGACCACACTGTGTTGTACGTTATTGAAAACCTGACAAATACAGTGCTGTTCTTAGCAAATGCTTCAGTCAGGATTGATAAATTAAACAGAATTATCTGAGTATAATGATATGATGCTGCCAAAACACTTACCTGAATACCTAAAAAGATGCAAAGATACCACGGTGGGATGTCTGTGACACAATAGGCTAGTTTGTTAGGGTCTCCCCGCTCTGAAAAACCATCACTTTCTTTCTTATTCTCAGGCAATTCACAGAAATGGTCCACACCATCAACCTAAATAAGACAAAAAGTAAAGATTCAGTTAAATTCCCGATCCAACAGTTCTATCATTTCTACATGCAGGGCACATAAATATATTTTTTTCACTAAAAAGGCACTAAAAATCAGTGTTTTCATTCAGTTCAGTTGATTATAAGCAGCTATAATGGTAACCAGCTATCATTAGATTATAAGTAGCCTGTTTGATTTGTTGGTAGATCATCAAAATAATGTGTTGATGTGACGAAAACAGTCTTCTAATACTCTAATGACTGAAAGTTGCACACTTGTAGTCAAGAGAATGTTTTAAAAAGACTTTAAATATGAAGTTTTAGCAAAACAATACATTTTGCTGTGTTCATTGTCTAATTCCTAACTTTTTATTGTAGTTTTTAGCATTAAATATAGGAAAAGGGGCAAAGAAGCTGGTATTTTGTAATGATTTTTGTTAATCAAAAGTTAAATGCTACGTATATAAGCTCTAAATGATAAACAGTTACACATTCCGGTCTCCAAAACATTGAGCATGACCACAATAACAAACACATGAGTAACGCATGCATCATCCATGGTTACAACAGTGATCAATAAAAAGAAATATTGCACCATAGAGTTTTATAACTGTGATTTCAAGGGTGTCATCTACAGTATAACCTGTTGTAACTTTTACGCAAGGAAAACAAGACCCTTAACACACCCTTGATCACACACTTGTATTTTTAAATTTGACTGCGTTTTGTTTTCACTCAATCTAACAGAATTTTAGAAGCTCGATGACTAAGTTAAAAAAAATTACTGAGTCACTACACATTAATGAATACTTACAGTAAATGCATAGTTGTCCAACCCGTCACTGTTTTTCTCTGGAGCCATGATTGTGGTGTGGACTGAGAAAGCGGTGCTCAGTTCTCAATGGGAGCTCTAGTAAGACAGAGGGCAAGAGCTAGATAAGGACAGCATAAAAAAAGAAAGACCAGAACGGAAAGGAAAGGAAGAACAAAAAATAGAGACACAGGACAGGGTTTGAGGATGCTGCCGTTGATTGTAAATGCTATGGATCCCATCAGCTGCTCATGTGAACTCAATTACACCACAACTAGAAGGCAGCTGACCAGAGCCACGTGCTGCTGGAGCTGAGATCCCTCTGGCTCCAGATACACACCAACACACACACAAATATGAGCATGTGCACCACTGTATTTGCATGCATGTTAATTGTCATGCAATACATCTTCTTTCAGGTGAACTATTTCTTTCTTATTTCTTTTCCTTTAAAAAAATCTAAAGAAAATAATTTACTACCTAGCTCAGTGCAAGGGTTCTTTTTGTTGTTGGATGATTGCTTGGTTTACAAAGTAACTCGGTGCATGCCTGGTTATTATAACTCTAACTAACACTCTAAAACTTAAGATAATAACTATAACAAAAATAGTATTGTTCCTTAAAAAAAATAAAATGAAAATAGCTAAAACATACAGCATTCTACCAAAGCAACAACCTTCATTTTCAATAATTGAATAACTAACTTTATCTGAAAATAATTATCACAACAATAATAATAATAATCATCATTAGTACAGTATTTATATATACTTTACACTCTCGGAAATAAAGGTATGCAAGCTGTCACTGGGGTGGTACCTTTTCAAAAGGTACACATTTGTACTTGAAGGGTCCATATTGGTACCTTAAAAGTATATATTATTATATCTAAAAATTTTAAGAGGAAAACTTTTGCACTTTTTAGTTACTAATATGTACCCTTGAGGTATTAATATGGACCTATTAGGTACAAAAGTGTACCTTTTAAAAAGGTACCACCCCAGTGACAGCTTGTGTACCTTTATTTCTGAGAGTGTAAAGTATATATAAATACTGCACTAATGATGATTATTATTATTGTTGTTGTTATTATATGAGTTTTATTTTACATCTGATTCTTCAAGTACATATTTTGATGTAAAATGTTAATGTAAATGAAACCCATGCGAACACGGGGAGAACATGAAAACTCCACACAAAAACGCCAACTGACCCACTGCGTCACCATGCAGCCCTACCTGAATATTTTGATGTAAATTGTTTAACTTTATCTTTTTAATATAAAATCCAGAATAATTCCAGACGGCCTAAATTAACAAATGTTTTCCAAAAAAAGCTATCTGGTGAAATTGTATTCATATTGCAAAAATTATATCGCAGCAAAACAAATTATCGCAATGTCAAACCTTTCTAATATCGTACAGCCCTAGTTTGACAGCTTCAGCCACATCGCTCTATTTACCAAATGTTCTAAAACTTAAAATTAAACAGGAAATACAGAAATTAATTAGTGTGAAAGCTTATTATATATACACAAAATATACAGCTGTGGAAACAGTTAAGAGACCGATTATTACTTATTAGGGTTTACTTTATACAGAATATTAAATATTGCTTTTTTAAAATAAGTTTTTTATTAAGTTTTTGCTTTCTTTATTAAATGTCTGATCAAATTTCTTCTAATTTGTAAATACAAATTTTGATGTTCAGAGCACCTGCTATTTATTTATTTTAATATTAATTATACATTTTTAATTGTACATACACTACCGGTCAAAAGTTTGGGGTCAGTTTTTTTTATTATTGTTAATTTTATTTCATAATTTAAATTTAAAAAATTGTTAAATACTTATTTATTAAATATTTATTTATTACTTATTGTATGTAGTTTCAAATGAAATGTTACACCAGTCATTATTGCTTTCATTACTATCACTATTAATAATAATAATAATAATAATAAAAGGGTTAATAATTGTTCAATTATTTGTTAAAAAAGGATTTCTGAAGGATCACGTAACTCTAAAGACTCAAGTAATGAAGCTGAAAATTCATTAAAATCACAAGAATAAATTATTAAATTTAATGATAAACTACTTTTGAAGTAGTACTATCCGAAATTATGACCGGTATATGCATTTTTTAAATGATTTCAGACTTTACAAGAAAATGTATATTTATATCAATTCATTTGTCAAAAACTTTTATCCAAAACCAACCCACAGGGTATTTAAGATATACAGGTCATGAGTTTTAGTTTAATTAAATTACTAAACTGAAAATAGCCTACTGTGTGTGTGTGTCCTCCTCATTATGGCAATTATATGGTCTAATACATGGTCTATAATTATATATCCTGTAACAGTAATATTAGGTTTCCAAATTAATCCATATAATATAACAATGTGTGAACTTTTTCTTTACTTGAACTATTTTCTTTTCTTTTAACAAGCAGCCCCTTTCTTTCTTGTCTATTTCATTTAATATACTTTATTAGATATACTGTAGTATAATATTAAACATGTTTAACATTCCTGTAGAGCTCTCCAAACTAGAGCCTTGCAGGTCGTCTCATATACTACACATATCACATGTCTCCCATTTCGCAGATTTATCTGAGATAGTGACAGGACAAACCTAATCATCCAATCATTCTCTCATCAGACCAACCCAATAGCCTGCTACTACTTTTAGAGATACAATTTCTCTCATCAGATCATTGGAAAATATGAAGAAATGTCTTTTACTTACCTTGGCGCACATACCTCAGATGAAATGGATCTCGCTGTCCAATCCAGTAGTTAATGATTGTGAAAGTCGAGGAAGTTGTTCAGATAAAGCGAACATGATCTTTCACCCTTTTTGCACTGCTCATTTTTAAGGATGTGCTTGATTTCCTGGCCAATCAAATTAATGTTTCAAGTGCTGAAACCAGCTGGCAAACGTCACAGTCTGGGAAAAAACAAAAATGCAATCACATGCAGGCTGGTGAAGAGCTGGCATTCAGAAACAAAGTGTGTCATGAGGTCTTTTTCTCAGACTCTTCACAATTTCCTCCATGTAATTTACTTAGATATGCCTTATTCAAGTGCTGTCACGTTCAGAATTACTGTACATCCAGTCCAGTAATTATAAATAATGTTGATTATTGACATTTATCTTACTTTTATATATCAGTGTTTTGCTTTACTGGCTGTGGATCTACATTGGTTTACACTGTTAGGGTAAACACAGTTAGAGCCATGAGATTGATATTTAGACTAGCCTCAAAGCTAATTTTAGCGGCCTTGATTGTTTTCTGGGTGTTACTGATTACAAATTGCACAATGAAAATTGTAGTTAACAGTTATCTTTTAGATGACTAATTTTACACTGTAAAATTAAAGTTTTATTAACATTTTTAATAGTTTAAAAAAATAATACATTGTCTGGAATTGTGTTGTATATTGCAGTGCATAACCTTGTAATAAACTGCCACTACATTTTTTGTTGTTTTAGAATCAGAATCAGAAAGAGCTTTATGTTCACACATACAGTTAATGTACAGTTATTAGCTCCCCTGTTTATTTTTCCCCCAATTTCTGTTTAAGGGAGAGTTTTTTTCAACACAGTTCAATTGTTTTAATATCTCATTTCTAATAACTGATTTATTTTATCTTTGCCATGATGACAGTAAATAGTATTTGACTAGATATTTTTCAAGACACTTCTATACAACTTAAAGTGACATTTAAAGGCTTAACTAGGTTAATTAGGTTAACTAGGCAGGTTAGGGTAATTACGCAGTTATTGTATAATGATGGTTTGTTTTCTAGCCTATCGGAAAAGTAATAGCTTAAAGAGGCCAATAATATTGACCTTAAAAGGTTTTTTTTTAACTAAAAGCTGCTTTTATTTTAGCTGAAATAAAACAAATACGACTTTTTCCAAAAGAAAAAAATTAATATTATCAGCCATATTGTGAAAATTTCCTTACTCTGTTAAAGATCATTTGGGAAATATTTAAAAAAGCAAAAAAATTCAAAGGGGGGCTAATAATTCTGACTTCAACTGTACAAAGAAATTGTTTTCGTGACAGCTTCTACAGTGCAATAGACTTACAGAGACCGGACAAAAACAGATAAAAATTATATTTTAAAAATAGAAGTAAGTTGTGAATGCAAATATACAATTTGACAAGTGTACAGGTGTATTACTATATACAGTGTTATATGTGCAGCTGTTACGTGCAAATTGGCAAGTTGTTAAATAAATAAGTGTAGAAAAAAGTAGTGATGTTTGTTTTACAATTATCATAAGGTGTTCATGGGATGGATTGCCTTTTACAGACTTACTTCCCTATTTCTTATGCATTATATTATTTCAAACTGCTGATATGTCAATAATAGTCACTTTGTTAAACTAGGGTTGAATTTTTAACATCAAAAGTCAACAGAGCAGAGATCAACGTCCCATAATGTAAAACACTGAAAACACTTGTGAATCACAAAATGCAGAAATTGTTAATCAATAGATTTTTTACAGTGTAGGTAAGGATTATGACTACTTTTGGATTACTTTTAGATTACTTTTATTAAGATTTTTTGATTGTAACAGGTTTTAATGGCCTTTGTGCGCTGTAAAAAAAAAAAAAGTAGACTCAGCTCAAAATTGTAGGGCAGCTGGCTGCAAAGATTTTTTGAGTTGACTCAACTTTCAACCCAAATATTGCACTAGACTTGATTTAAGTTGAGTAAACTCAAAAATATCCTGAAGCTGGTTGCCTTAAAATTTTAAGTTAAGTCAACTTTTTTAGTGTGCAGAGAGAGAGAGACAGAAAACATAAATATAAATATATTTACAATTAATATAATTTTTTAATATAATTTTTAATATAATTTTTATTTGCCTGCATGCCAATTGACCAAAATATTGTTAAATTATTACAATATTAAATTAAAAAGTGGATTCAAGTAAATATCTTTGGTCAAATGAGTTGACTGGGAAAGATTTTTGGGAATCCCTGCATCACATAAACATACTGTATTACATCAACACATACTGATGTAGATTATTAGTAAACAATAAAACTGCGTTTACGTGGTCAATGCCTTTTGGGTTTTAAATAATTTAGTGATCCATATATTTACAAATGTATTTTCCAACATTTACATTTTTGTTTCATAAGCGTAAATGTTGTCTCATAATTGCAAATTAATTCATGTTGCCATTTTGCATTGAAGAATTAAAAGATAAATGATACTTGAATTTTTAGAAAATAATTATTTTTTATTTTCTGTCATTGTGTGAACATTTCTTTAAATATGTAGACCGTAATATATTTAATCTGATTCTGTGCATTTTAATACGTATTATAATCTAATTAAAATTAGTTATTTAATCTGGTTATAGTAATGAATATCACATGTTATTAGTTACTCATACTGCTCAGAGTAAATGTTTACGTTTTACAATCTTTTCCACGCGTTTTGACCAAGAATTTGCTTGACTTTTTTTCACTTATTCTGGAGTATTGAACATCATCATCTGATCACTCTTTAAAATAATACACAATACAACATGTTAGTCGTTTAAGCAGATCTGGATTTGGGATGATTTTCAGAATATAAATGTAATAGTCCAACTAGCATGCTTCTCTTTGAACATTTAGGCTAATTTGCGGTCTTGTCCAGCAAGTGGCGCAATATTATTTAACACCATGCATGTTACAACATAACAGCGTTCAAGTGGTTATCCATAATCAGAACAGATAACATTTTGTGCATCATTTAAGATTTAGGAAGCTGAGCATGTTATGGCATTTATTTCAAGGATCAAGAGTAGGCCTATTTGCTTTATTTTGCTTTACTGACTAAATTTGTCGTTTACAATAATAATTTTTCATATAACTAAATAAAATTGACTTCACTATTAATCACTTTTGTTTAACTATGCATAGACTTACACCACATAAAATACACACCAATAATGCAATATAAATAATGCAAACGATGCGGGACGGGGGGGAGGCAGTGAGTGACGTCACATGTGAAAGACAGAATCAACTTCTGCTCACTTGGCATTCCGGGTAGATGGCGCCGGTTTTCCTCATAACATTTGAAGTTAGAAATTAGAATAAAAAATATATAAATGTAGGCCTATTTGATGGAATAAACAATATTGCGGTTTATGACAGCATCGTCTACCATGAAGAAATCGAGTCCAGCCCATGTGTCTCTGGTGTAAACATCATTTCAGCGTCGGCAAACAGGAGGCGCATCGGGTGGACGGACTGCAGCATCTCCACCTGAATCTCTCCATCAGCCTCCGCCTTTCGGAGAGTCACGGGAACGGAGGACGCGGAGATCATACCCGACCGGAGACCGCAGGCGATGGCAGCCGGTGGAGGATGCGGGGAATCGGTGGATCAGTACCGGAGCGAGGTGGAAAGGCTGACCCGAGAGCTCGCTGAGGCAAACCGGGAGAAGATCCGGGCTGCGGAATGCGGTCTGGTGGTCCTGGAGGAAAACCAGAAGCTCAAACATCAGTACGCCGAGCTCGAGATCGAGCAGGAGGCTTTAAAACAGGAGCTAGAGCAGCTTCAGGAGGTAAACACAGCTCGGATACTTTCATATGTTGACATGTCAATAATTCAAGATGTAGGCTGTATAGTAGTTTCACCACATATTTGCTAAATTTAGTGGCTTTGCATCAGAAATCTTTATATATATATATATATATATATATATATATATATATATATATATATATATATATATATATACATATATATAGATATATATATATATATAGTTGAAGTCAGAATTATTAGCCTCTGTATATTTTATACACATGCTAATTTTTATTTAACGGAGACAAGATTTTTTTTTCAACTTATTTCTAAATATAATAGTTTTAATAGCTATTTTCTAATAACTGATTTCTTTTACATTTGCCATGATGAAAGTAGGCCTACATAATATTTTACTGGATATTTTTTCAAGATAGCATATTCAGCTAAGAGAGCAATTTAAAGACTTAACTAGGTTAATTATCTGAGTTAGGGTAATTGGGCAAGTCGTTGTTGACAGTTGAAAGCAAACTGCTTAAAGGGGCTAATAATATTGACCTTAAAACGTTTTTAGAAAATTAAAAACTGCTTTTAATTTTCCCGAAGTAAAACAATTAAGACTTTCTACTGAAGAAAAAAATATTTATAGGAAATAGTGTGAAAGAAAATCTTGCTCTGTTAAAAATAATTTTGGAAATATTAAAAAATTCACAGAAGGGCTAACAATTTAGACTTCTGTATATAGATCAGATGCAAAAACTTCTAAGTGCCATATGAAATGTTATTGTAAAATGTAAAAATATATATTTAAAAAAATCTCATGTGATTTAGTCTAAATAGTTTTACTTTTATTTCGATAGGTTAGTTTTATTGTCTTTAAAGTGAAATGTGAGAAAACTTTTCATTTTTTGAAACTTCATATGGCACGTATTTGTTTTTGATTTTGTGGGGAGGGGGGTGCATTATATTTATAAAGTATGTGATTTTAAATTTATTAATGAGGTTGTTCAATTTTAGACTCCTTCAGGTGAGGAATGATTCTTGTGTCAGGTTTATGAAGAATCTTTTGTGTGTCAGGAAGTTTTCTGGGCATTTGGCCCATTACAGTTCATTCCTGCTGGGAAATGTTGTCTTCTCTCTGAGTCTGAATGTCAATAAGATGTTCACTCATGGCATACATGTATCATCATTATGTCTGTTTATCTGATTGTGGGTCAAACATGACAGCTTATTTTTGTGCATGGATCAAATAAAATTGAAATCTATCTATCTATATCTATCTGTCTGTCTGTCTGTCTGTCTGTCTATCTATCTATCTATCTATCTATCTATCTATCTATCTATCTATCTATCTATCTATCTATCTATCTATCTATCTATCTATCTATCTATCTATCTATCTATCTATCTATCTATCTATCTATCTATCTATCTATCTATCTATCTATCTATCTATCTATCTGACCCATATATAAAGCTCAGTGATTTAGAAGTGTTGCTAGATGATGATATAATTTTTTTTTTATTAACAATTTTTTAACAAAAAAAAATTAAATCAGCATAAGCCCATGCTTTGTAATTGTTGAGTTTTGTGACATCCTAAATGATAAGCGTAATGAGCAATTAAAGCACACAGTCAGTAACCATCCAAAGTGGACACCCATTACTGGTTTAATACTGTTTTCGATCGACCACAATGTAACATATCTAGGACAAATGGACTCTTTTAGAGGGGTGAAATGATGAACAGATAAGGATGAAAGGAGAGAGGAACAGGGAAACGGAGACAAATAGTGATGGAACGGGATACTTCTGCAGTCATCCAGAAACTGGTTGCACAGCACAAGGTGCCTTATTTATGCTTTAAATGTGATTGTTAGTACGATTACAGAATGTTGGGGATCCATGTTGAATTGTTAAATCATAGTTAAACAGAAATAATAGTCATGGTGTCTTGAGAAAGCCAAGATACTATTACATAAACTACTACTACTTCTTCTTCTGAGACCAATTTCCATAGACCATTTCAATGTGATGATGTCATTGGCAAATGAACATTTTATAACTGCAAGAGGCAAGTCAATAATAACTTTTTGTTAAAACAGCTATCATAACATTACTATCAATATGTGGCTCTTTTTGGACTCTCTGAAGCTATAGAAATTAAATGTAAAACAGATAATACATTGGGACCATTGTTTTTGTTTACATGCCTCAAAATGGTCTATATGCATATCTACTAAACCGTTCAAGCTACAAAAACTAACCTCTAAACCTCAAAACTGGTCTGACTCTTTTCCAACTGATCCAACTCACAGTTTTTCAAAAACTAACTCAGAAAATTTGAAAAAGTCCTATTGGCTTAACAATGGACCAAACTTTCTGACCTCATACTGTAACTTTTCACCAGACTGTCATACGAACTTAAGGCTGGGCTTATTTAACTCAGACTACCAATCTGCCAATCATTAGTGAACTTTCAACTTACTAGCCACACCCTACAAAGCCGCACCCTATAGGAACTATCCCATAGACTTCCATTGTAAAAAAAAAAAAACTGCCATTGACTTTACATTGGACATGCTAACAACTTACCAATTCTTCACTAGATACTAGAAATATACTAACAAACATGCTAAAAATATACTAATCCATACTGAAAAAAATACTAACAACATTCATTCATTCATTTTCTTGTTGGCTTAGTCCCTTTATCAATCCGGGGTCGCCACAGCGAAATAAACCGCCAACTTATCCAGCAAGTTTTTACGTAGCGGACGCCCTTCCAGCCGCAACCCATCTCTGGGAAACATCCACACACACATTCACACACACACTCATGAACTACGGACAATTTAGCCTACCCAATTCACCTGTACCGCATGTCTTTGGACTGTGGGGGAAACCGGAGCACCCGGAGGAAACCCATGCGATGGCAGGGAGAACATGCAAACTCCACACAAAAACGCCAACTGAGCCGAAGTTCGAACCAGCAACCTTCTTGCTGTGAGGCGACAACTGTCCTGTGCCACTGCCTTGCCTACTAACAACATATCCATACTAATAACATACTAAAAACATGCTAATCATGCTATAAACATTAGTGCTTGATTGTATATGATTTTGCATCATGACAACAATTGAAGCAGAATATTCTTTTTATTTATTCTTTTAGTTATTTTATGTTTATGTGGTCTTTATTGTTGTCAGTGAAATTAATTTTCCAACTGATCCGACTTACAATTTTCCAAAAACTGACCCAGCAAATTTGGAAAAGTCCCATTGACTTAACATTGGACCAAACTTTGTGACCTCATAACCGTTCACCAGACTGTCATACAGACTTAAAGCTGGGCTCATTTAACTCAGACTACCAATCTGCCAATTACTGATGAGCTTTCAACTTACTAGCCACACCCTAGCAACCATTTACGGCACTCTAGCAACTGTCCCATAAATAAAACTGTCCCATTGTAAAAAACTGCCATTGACTTTACATTAGACATACTAACAATTCAGACTATCAATATACTTTGAAAATAGACTAATCCATGCTAGAAATATACTAACAAACATACTAAAAATATACTAATCCATACTAGAAACATACTAACCACATATCCATACTACTAACAAACAGACTAATCATACAATAAACATTAGTGCTTACAGTATATGTGAATTTGCACCATGAGCACAGTTGAAACAGAATAATCTGACTTTTTGACCTTATGTTTATGGGGTCTTTATTGTTGTCAGTGAAACTCATTTTTGGATGATGTCCTCTAGCTGATGTTTTTTTTAAAGCAGTTTTATTGTAATATATGAGTATAAATTATTTCATCAGTGTCCTCATGTTTCCCTATAATCCACTGAAGTAAAGCACAGCAAAGGTCAACGACTATGATGGGCCTTTGTTTTCTTTGACAATATGTATGACAGCTTATCTCAGACATATATTCACTGACAGCAGTGAGTCATTTGCAATGAAAAACTGTCATAAGTGTGTCAGTAATTGCATTTATTTTCATGGTGTCTCCCCCTCTATCAGGCTAGTCTGCCCTGTGGGCTCGTCTTTAATTAACCGTTATCATGCAAATCATGCTTAAGCTTGCCTTTCCAAGCCAGCCAAAAATTGGGGTCAGCTTGACAAAATTTGCACTCAGTTTGGGATTGCATGGAACTGTTTATCATTTGTTATCTATTTAGATGTTTTTTATCTACTCCGGTAAAATTAGAAATGCATTTACTTCATGTTTATTTAGTAAAACTCTGAGTACAGAGCGTGCAGACAATTTAAATCCTGATTTGTATCATTCAGGGTGCGATCAATAATGCATATCTGTTTTGCTCCTTGCCTTTCGGATAGTATCTGTGTCTTTCTTTGTGTTCAAAGCATATTTGCTGTTTATAATAGAGTCTGTCTGCGGATGATAGTCTTGTGAAGGACACAAGCGCTGGAGGTGATATTTCCTCCTGAGGACTGACCTGCTATTTGGTCTTTTTTCTCTTTATCTTTCTCTATTTATTCTCTATTTTGATGAATATTAAACAGAACGTGAAGGGCCACGTTGCACCTTTTGCCTTCGGGCTCAATTCCTTGGAGAGTTTCCCTGGAATTTACTTGCAAATCAGATTTTCTGAATGTGCAAGGTAGAAAAATTGCAAATCAAAGCTTTTTGTGAACAGTTCTTGTGGTGATGTGTATTGTGTACACACATTCAACTGTTTTACACATTCAGACAGCTTGTGTTTATAAATCTATTGATATTTTTGTTCAATTAAAGACAAAAATGGCATAATTATTGTTTTTATTCAATCATGTGGTTCTGGTGATGCTTGAAATTCAGATGGAGGGCAGGAAGTAAAAAACTGAATGGGAGACATGGAGGAAAGTCTGAATTTTTGCCATTTATACAATATTTCAAAGGAGATATAATTAGAAATTAACCCCATATGTTGGGCACGATCCTTATATCATGAAAAGGGCTAAGTTTTCTGCTGAACTAAAATAAATTTGCCTGTCATCGAGGCCGA